TTTACATTTTGACAAACTTCAAAATGCGCAACAGTAGGATTGGTATGATTGAACTCTCAAAAATTGAGACTTGAGAAGCTAAATAGTAGAAAGTTTATAGTAATGCCCTACCTTCTAAAGATGATTCCTAATGTTTCTCCAAATACTTCATAACTCTCAAAGATTCTAATTAGATCATCACATAAATGCAAAGACAAATGCCTTGCTTGAAGATCAGCACCCTAAAACTTTGCCAACTTCCTCTTCTATTCATATTTTTGTTTGTCATTGAGCACATGTAGATATAGATATGGTTTTAATAACTAAATAGTCATATTGTGCATGATGAGATAATCCTCCCTCTCGCACATATTAAACCTTGTTCTTGAGGTGAAGTTAAGGTGAAGTTAGGGCTTTTTATTTCCATCAAATTAAGAACTTTGGTTAACCTTCCACTCTAAAATAGAACAAAATGATGTATGCTTCAACTAACCACATTTTAGGGTACTGGTGGTATCTTCTAAAGTATTTATCTAGGAATTTAAAGATATAGGAATGAAGAAGTTCAATCTAAAGAGGGGAGTTACAGTAATGGTTGAGGGAAAGGGCTTATAAGGTGTTAGAAACATTTTCAAGTTTGAAATTTTGGATCAATGGAGGAACCACTACCATGAGAACCATGTGGCCCCATTCTGGCATACAGATTTTTAGTCGTACAATTACTATTCCTTTACAGCCATTAAAGAGCGCCAGGCATGCCAGCTTGGCACGCCACTATTCACGGGGAAGATAACTTTTGGAACCTTGCTTATACCCAAAATGCCACCATACACCCTTATCGCTAACAGAGAAAAACACACTATTTTTCCCATGTTCCTAAAAAATAACTCCTTTGATACGGTTATAATTACTTAACGATTACATTTTTAGGGATTGCTCCTAAAGCTAACTAGGGCTAAGTCTTCAATGTGACTACTAAGACACTCAGATAGGTCCTAAAATATTAGCATTAACCTATCGTTATCCTATAATCAAAGCCTAAGGCTCTAGTTGAATGACTTAGTAGTCATATTGATTTGATAGCCCTAGTTACTTATGTGCAATCCTGAAAATATGCAGTCATAGGCAATTGCAATCTTATCAAAGATGACCAACTTTTTTGGCATAGAGGGAAAAAAATTTCTTGTTTCCTTGCAAAGATAAAGTTGCTCTACTGGTAGCGACAACCAAGTTCCAAAAGGTAAGCTTCCCAATGAATAGCGGTGAGACAAGCTGGTACACCTATCACTGATTAAATGGTGTGGTGATGTACTGGAATCTGGAAAAATAAGACAACGAGCCTAAGACCAATGTTTCATGTGTCCAAATAACTAGCAGAGTGGATGTGCGTCAAACGCGATTTGAATCCAATCTACATAGATAACTCTCTAACCATATCTTTTCACTCTCTAAGAACTTCCTGAATATATCGTTTATCTAAGTCACTTATCTCTAACCATGGCCCTTTTTCTCTAACTCCTCTCTCTATAACTATATCCATTGTTTCCAATTGCCATATCACTCTATCTACTTTTCTCTCTCTAAACACATCTTTTCTATCTCTAACCATGCTCTACGTTCTTCATAGTACATAAATAGAATTTTGTGGCCTGGAAATGTTATTTGAAATCCATATTTATGCATGAAAATGCATGCAGCCCTAGATCCTTTAAAATAACTTGTAGCCATCCTATCCATGAAGTAGTCACCCATTAGTGTATAATAATCTACCTGCTATGAGTTTTACCAAAATGTGGGTTGTAATATTGATTTTAAAAAAGTATTATATTATATTATGGCATGTGTTTACTACATTATATTTCATTGTGGCATTTGTTTATTTTGTCTGATTGCTCATGTCATATTATATTATATTAGTCAAGTCATGGCAATGGTATTTCTTTGGCTTGTAAGAACTATGATCTTAATAAATGAAGCCAGTCTGAACCTAAGGTTTGGAACCTCCAAACCTGAGGTTTGAGGACATATTTCTTACCTACTACATGTGCCACAAGCTTGATGATTTTTTATATACAATAGATTTGTATATTACTTGTGACACAAGTCGCACAACATAGTGCCACCACAAAAGTAACACACAGAATTGTTCTAAGCAGTAGTTTACTTATGATCAATATAAAAACCCACATTTTAATAAAAAATGTAGCAAATAGATTAGCTACTCTATTGGGTGACTACTTCATGGATGTAGGATGGTCACAAGTTAGTTTAAAGGATCTAGGACTACATGCATTTTCATGCATAGAAATGGATTTTAATAATGAGATGAGTTAGAGAGAGAAAGGACATGGTCAGAGAGAAAGAACTTAGATAAATGACATGGTAAGGATGTTATTGGAAAGAGAAAATGCACGGTTAGAGAGTTACCAAATGTAGATAGAATTCAAATCACGTGAGGAGTATGTGCACTCTGCTAGTAAGCCCTAAAATGTGGTTGTAAGCCTAAAACTTTGGTAACAATCCTTACTTCCACTATTATTTATCTCCTAAACACCATCACATTAGCTCCACTCTTAAAATGTTATGTCAACTCCCTAAATGTTTACATTAAATCTCGTCCTTTTGCATATAGTCCAAAGACCTTGCTAGCAGAATTTTCTTCTCACTATTGTCCCCTTCTCCCACCCAAAACCAATATATTAGCTCTTCGCATTAAATCTTAGCAATAAGATCTTATTTTATAAAACCCAAAAATGTTGTTGAAACCCTGAACCTCGGTCTAAACCCGTCATCCAATAAAAACCACTAGAACAACTCCCCTCATTAACTAAAACTACTCTATGAATTCCACATCTTTCTTTGATTTTTGGATAAACACTCCTAAACCTTCACCTCTGTAGCCCAAAAGTAAGGTTGTCATAGTATATCTAAATCTTCTCTTTAGATTTAGAGCAAAAATGTAGCTAAAACCCAAAATTCACAGAATAAGAAGCACTAACTCCAGCTCGAAAGAAAAAAAAAATTGCATGTGGAAGAAGTTCGGTTGCCTACTCGGTTACCATCAAAATCAAGTAACATAGTTGACACGAAAAAGCCCTGCCAGATTTTCAAAATTTGTCAAAAATTTTAATACACAAAAGCATATGTGATAAACCCAGCTTGTCATCTAGAGATACAATCATGTTATCACCTTCGAGGATACCATTTGCTTGTCAGATTGTCCTGAAAAATTATATATAGGTAAGCTTAGAGGACCCCCAATTTTTCATCGATAAAACTTTCCCAACTTGGACAATATTAGTCCAAGTCTAAATGAGCTCTTATTGATTACTACCTATTATAGAGAGGAAGGGATAAAGCAATTCTCCTTCATGATCTACGATTGAGAAGAAGGAACACGATCCCTCCTCCTCATTACGAGGAGAAGGAACTCAACCTCTCTACTTTCTACACAAATATATGACAAACAAAAGCTGATAAATAAGGGAGAGGAGATCGCATAATATCCCACTTCCCAACATTTTAAATGTTGAGGACCAAATCACATGATTTGTCGTATGTGCCAACATCCACATCATTGAATGGAGGTAGGAATGTAAACGAGTCGTTTTCAGGTTGCGGTCAAGAGCAGATCTCTAGGGTGGCCCAGATCAAAATACAAAATAAATACTAAATATTTATTATATCCATTTTATGACATACATATAATTATATATACACATGCTCCCGAACAACATACACACGTATGAAGGGCCGGGTCTGTTCAACACCGCTCCTATTAGGTCCGGGCTAAAGCTGGTTCCATACCTGGTCAAGTGGACCCAGACCTGATCTACCAGGTCCACCTGGCAGGTTGAAACCTTGACCCAAAGGAAGATTTTTGCACCTCTGAAATTGTTGGGAACATTAGGTTTATGGGTCAAGTTAACATAATTTACCATGATAATAACCGAAAGCCACAACCATTGTAATAACATATAATGGCGCTAACAACCGATTTAAGCATGGAAGAGGCGAAAATTAAAGAAACAACGCATTGCACATATGTTAGCCAAGTTATGGAAAGTTCTGCAGCAACTTGCCCCACCCTTATAAAGGTCTTAAAAAAAAAGTAAAAGGATAAAAAAATGCAAAAAAAAAAGGGAAACACCACTATATTAGTTAGAGTTAAGTTGTTTGACAATTTTGATAATTTTTAAGCTGATTTGGAACTTTCATATTTTTTCCCTTTTTCAATTGTTTTTTTGAGATGTTAAAGTTCTAAATCAAAATTTTCAATAATCCATGTTCTATAGATTTTTTTTTAAGTTTTTAGTCTAACGGCTCCTATGACCTCTTTTATTTTTCTCTTATTTCTAACTTCTTAAAAAAAAAAACACCATTTTTCTGACTTTTATTCATTCTTCTTGTGTTGTACATAATCGGCCAAATCCAGTTAGTAGCCAAGGTGGAGGTGATTCCAAAGCATTGCATTCGCACAATAGCAACAATCGTGAAGGGCCCTTGCCATTATAACACTAATAAATTTATGGTCACATAATGTTTTTAGCCACGGTTTGGGTAATTTATACGTCAAAAAATTCCCACATCAGTATGAAAATTCCCCATTGATTTCATGCTAAAAGCAATAAAAATACCTAATTGAATGGTTACTACAATTTTAGGGATTTCAACATGTTCTATGCTAAAATGGACCAAAATGACACGAAAAGGTCACACCAATTAAGTATTACTGGTCTTTGTGAACTTCTCTATATAATTCACCAGAATAAACAGAATTCGTAATATTCAAAATACAAAAGAGAAGCAAGCAACTATAATCTCCATATAACCAGATAGCAAATAATTCAGTAATTTTGTTGCATGAATCGCAGGTTAAGCAATAGTCCTTCAGAGATAAACTCAAAAAACTCTAACACAAAGCCAATAAAAAATATAGGGCTCTTTTGACAACTAAAAATTAAAAAATGGATTTTCTACCCTAAAAAATCCAAAATAAAATTTTCAGAAATTTGAAATACCTAATTTACAGCGATACTATTTGCAAACCAGATCCCAAAGCTCTCGAAACCACGGTGTTGAAGCAGAGAACGAGATATCCGACGGCTGGTAGGTGGCGATTGAAGAATTGGACGGTTGAGAGTCGAAGATCTTCGAATAGGAGTAGATCTTGAATCCGGCATGAAAGTGAGAATCCATAAACTCCAAGGAAGAAACCCTTGTTCAGAGACAATCCCTGGTGAATAACCTGTACGCAATTCTGGAGAGGGAGTGTGTCCGAGAGAGGGGAGTCAACGCACATGAAAAAACTGCGATGGGAGAGAAAGGAAAAGAGACGAGAGAGAGCCCGTGATGAGAGAGAGGAAAAGGACGAGAGGGGGAAGAAATTGCAGTCCTGGTTTGACCGGCTCGAGTTTTTAACAAATGACAAAAGACCCCAAATTGTAACTGTAACTTCCGATTTGGTAAGTCCGGATTGTTAGAGTTGGTGCTGAAAACTGTTTGATTAGTGGCTGTGGGGGGATAGGATAGAGAGACCGTCAGAGAGAAGAATAAAGAAGGGAAAGAAGGGTAGGATGGGTTTTGGGGCATTCTAAAGAGTTGTCCAGTAATATAAACACCCGGGCAATATAATCTTAGATTAGTGTTTGGTATCAATACTACTAGGCACAAAAAATAACAAAGACAAATATTGTTTGGTATCTGTAAATACCGGACTGTGCTATGTGGAAAGAGGCCCTCCTGTTTGGCGTTGTTGTTGCCGAACATGAGGGCAACTTCAAGAAAAAAAATTAATTTTATATATATATATAAATAAAGTGATGATCCTATGAGATCCTCCCACATCGATGTGTGTTAGATTTCAAATGATCACCATTAAATTTGGCACAGATCTCTAAAAAAATTATCACACGTTGGGTTTATATGGTATATAAAAGTATTATGAATGTGTATTGAAATATTTTTATTATAGTGAAATATAAACTCAGTGGAAGTGTGGTCCCTCGAAGACCATACTAAACGAATGATGTTTGCTTATACGAGACTGTGATTATCGATCTAGGCGAGTCGGTTGTAAAACCCAAAGTACCTGAGCATAAAGAATAAACCGATAAGGGTTTTGGGTTAGCCCTTGATGAGGTCAGAGCTTAGGCCTAGATGAAAAAGCCGAAGGACTGTGTGACCCTTGTGTGTGATGGTAGGCCTACTGATACAGGGACCAAAACCTCATCCATATTCTATCACATAGCATGCATATTGATAGATCGTTCGGGAAAGCCAGATATCCACCTTTGGGTGAAGTGTATACATGGGCGAGAGATACCCCTATGCATCATAGAGCTGTAGTCGCATCAGATTGTGGTGACCTTAACTCGTCTTTAGGGGAGGACTTATAATCCACAGACTGAGATTGCGACCCTTTAATTCATTGACCTAATTTTGGTGACCCGTTAATGGGCCCCTACTGGAACTATAGGTCATGGGAAACACTGGGTCGATTCGATAAAGCTAATGTGGTCTATAGGCCACAGTTGAAGGTGGAGTACCCTATTATTACAGATTGAATTCCTAAAACCATATGGATCTTTTTTCCATCATATTAATTCAATTGTGTTCATTTTATTATTGAAATGATTTTAGTTTTATTATTTGAATTTTTAAGAACCTCTCAATATTTTAATTATGATTTTTTTACTTATAAAAATACAGTTATCGATTTAAAAAAGTTGTAAAAATTCAAATACATATTAATTATTTTTATTTAATTTTAAAACTTTTTTATAAAATACCATGGGGGCCCAAACTGCACATGGGCCACCATGTGGCATGTGGGTGGGGGCCCACATGTGCCACAAAGGGGTGGCACGCCCCACCCTTTGGATTCATCTTGTTTCTTTGTGATCAAGGTCTTTAAGATTATGATAATTTTGATTTGAGGCATGTGATCAAATCTTAGAAATGTTATAGCGGCCATGACATATTTTGTAATATGATAAGTATGCTTTAAAAAGGATATGGTCAATTTGAATAGATGATAAATATTGACCTTATCTTGTTTAAAAAAATTTGTAGTATTTATTTACTTGATAATGTTTGACATATCCTTATGGAATATGTGATATGATCATGTTATTTTTATGGAATGCATGATATCTATTTTATCTAAATATATTTATGAGATAATGGTTTAAGGAAATGGGGATAACATTGAAAATGGTTTAAGAAAAAGCGGATAATGGTCTAAGCACATTCCATAATGTTGATGACCCATTTATGGAATAGATAATTCAGATCTCTCGCACCACAAGTCACATTGACCAACGGTACAGATTCAATCTTATGAAGGAGGCAAACTATGGGAAACCCTAAAGAAACCCTAGATCTAATTTTCTCAATAAATAGGGGAGTTCTTTCCATCTCTAATAAAATAACAATCTCTCTCTATAATTGTCTCTCTCTCTCTTTGAGGGACAGGCCCCACTCTCTCTCTCTTTGAGGGGCACACCCCACGCTCTCTCCTTTGAGTTTCTCTCTCTAACCCTCTCTATCATAAAGTTTCAAAAGGCGCCCCTACTTTAGCTACTACTCTTTTTTTCCTTAGACCTGAGAAAAAAACCAAGGGTTCTAGAAATTAGAGGGAAGCCTAAGTTATTTTTGGAGGTTAGGGTTTTGTGGAGAATTAAGGGTGGTTACGTAGTTTGGCCGAAATCAACTTTTTCGATTCGAGATTGAAGCTAGACCTAATATCCCACTCCATTGGATGTGGTGACTCGGTATGGGGTGTAAGAAACCCGGTTGATGTAATATCTGGCATCTTTATCTGATATTTACTTTTATTTATTCCATATTCTCAAGCACAATATTAGACTGTATGAATGACATCAAGTAGTTGAGATTTATTTTATTGATGTGTTATTTAATTTTGGAATTTTTATTGTTTGTAATAAGATTATCTGTGAATGATATTGTTGCCCAAATTATAAGGGATGATTATAACTAAAAAATAAAATAAAATTGTATTTCCCCAGCGAAAGATCACATTGGTCTTTCTTTCATCACATGGGTGTAGGACTTGACTGTTTTAGAGATCTGTACCAAATTTATTGGTGATCCTTTGGGGTCCTATACACATGGGTGTGGGAGGGTATCATAAGATCATTACTTTTATATATATAAAAAGCTTTATCTTCAAATGGTAATAATGCCCCCCGAACCATGTTTGTACACAGTCGCTCTCTATTTTATCGATTAGGTTTAGATTTTAAAATGTAGAATTAAGGTGTACATCTAAAATCCTTCAAAAAAAGTTGTTTTTGATGTTGCAAAAATATTTAATTGATCATCTCGATATAGAGATGTATAAATATGGAGAAAAAAAAGAGATTTAAAATCTTAAAAATAGTACATCCTACAACACATTATTTGGACCGTCAATTTTCAAGATTTTTATATGTTTATAGAGCTATTTGATTTAAACTATTTTTTAAATTTAAAATGTAATAATTAGAGACTTCTCACATCATCCTATAAACTTTCAACACCAAAATTGCTTCTTGTGATAAATATTGGGGTTGCACCTTAATTTAATTTTATCATTTAAGGCGGTAGCCTTAAGCAAACCACACCCATATGAAATTGGTATACTGTTGATAATATTAATTTGTTAGTTATTTGATACATATTCTGTATTATATACAAATAATATAAATATTTAACTTTTTAAAAAAATCTCAACTATTCTTAGCTATTTCTAGATGAAAACATGTGATTTTCAACGAATCATTTTCATTAAAGTAAATATAGATTTTCCATGAACTTTATGTGGAACACTACCTAAAATTTTTTTTTTCCTTTCCTTTTTTTTTTAGCAAAGGCTATAAGTTTATTTCACTTTGTAATGGATACTGATGAACAATAGATAATTTATTATAAGTATTAAATTTATTGAAGCACTGAATTGTCACAAGTAGTGCATCTACGCATTCCTTTAATATTTTTACTAAGGATGCTGTTTTGTTGATATTTATGGAGAGATTTTGTGATACCATAAGACTAAATTGTATACTTGTTCTGTTGACCAAAACTCGAAGGGTCTTTAGTTTGTGGTAGAGTTTATTTCGTGAAACAACTCCATTCGGTAGCCACCACTTTCCTCATTTGGTTTATGGAAAAATGGGTTTCCCCTCGGGAAAGGACTTTCCCGTGTGGGATTACCTAGACGCTATTTTGTGGGAATGCACACGCATACCTTATATACTCAGCTTTTCCATGGGTGGAGTGTAAAGCTCTTTCTATAAAAACTCTTCTATGAATCAAACGACCCCTAGAAGCAACTTTATGACATCAAAATTTAGAATGTAACCTACTCAACTAGGAGATCAGCCTTAAAGAGAAGCTTCAAGTTCCTAGGAAAATTCATACCCTGTGATTGCATAGAGGTAGTCAAATTTTTGGTTTAGCACATTGTTGTTGGGTGCTCCAAATCCCTTTTCTTGTTGAATTACTGATCTGGTAATTCAAAAGTTGTAATTTTATGCGAACTCATAAAAAATGAAAAGTTTATATACAAGGTTGCAACTTTAAACTATTGAAGCAATGTGAGCCTCAAAAATTCTCTAGAAGAGGGAGTCATGACGTTGGAAAATCGTCTAATTGATCATTTCGACTACGAGATGTGTGTATATAAAGAAAAAAAATTTCAAATCCTAAAAATAATGCATACCGCTACCCTAAAACTCGGTCCAATGACCGACTCATTCACCTATTGGGGGAACGTTGTTTGGCCATTTTAAGTAGTAGGCTCAATTTAGTCTCCAGGTCAAATAACAAAGAAACAAAACACATAGTAGAGGAAAAATCAAAAAATAGTTGGAATCAAGTGAAGAATTCATAAACTTGATTTGCTCACTCATATGCTCACATGTCTCAATCCGGATCGACGAATTTGGACCAGCGAATTTAAAAAGCAAATATGTAATATGTAAATGACTGGGTGTGCATGAGCAGAACCCCATTTCCAGATAAAGCAGATTCCAATTTTGAATGGGGCGATTTGTAATTCCAATTTTTTGTGGGTCCATTTGAATCCAAAACAAATTTCATTTATTAAAAATTTAAAATAAACCACTGCACAAGGAGGAGTTTCTAGAAGCTAACAGATGTATGGCTGGAATGCACCTAGGACAATTAATCTAAGAGAAAACTTCAACCCATTCAATAGATAAAAATATCCAAAATAGCATTCAGCTTGGAGGTCAGGTAACCCACTGGGTTAATTTCACAATTATCATTAGTTTCAAACAGTTATAGGCTTTGACTTAATTATCAATGGATTTGAATTTATTTGAATTTCTTAATGGGTGTGGTTTCCATAAGGTTGCAACCTTAAACAATCCATTTAAGGTGCACCTTAAAATTTTATCATAACATATAATTTTGATGTGAAAGATTCTTAAGATTATCTCAAAATCTATTTTTATATCTAATTATAAAATTTTATGGTTAAAAAATGATTAAAATCAAGTAGATCTATAAATATATGAAAATATTGAAAATGGACAGTCACAGATAATGTATTGTAAGATGCACCATTTTTTAGACTTAAAATCCTTTTCTGTTTTTTTCATAGTCATTCATCTCACCTTTGAGATGTTCAAGGGTTTTTCAATATTAAAACAACATTTTTCGATGGATTTTTTAAGTGCATCCGTAGACTTTTCCCTTTTTTAACATGCTTGAATAAAAAAGTCTCGAGGACTTGTTTGAATGCATCCGTTACTCTTGCAATGGTGATGTCGATGGGCTTGAATTTTGAGAGGCTAGAAGTATGTTTTGGAACTTGTTTGGATGCATTTTTTTTACTGTTACAATTGTGAATGCAACTAATTATCATATGCGTTATAAATTTATTTGCTAATTATTACTAACTTAAAACTATATTTGTCATGGAAAATAAATCATTATCAAGTCCTAATAGGCTTGAATTATGAAATCTTAGGATTTGTTTGGATGCACCTATATTACTGACATTTTTATGTGTCAATTCATGGCCGAACATGACCCCGAATGAAGGGAAATGGTATTTATCCATGGGTGTGGTTTGTATAGAGCCTAGGCTCTAAACAATCAAATTAGAGTCTACTTTCAAATGGTATCGAAAAATGTGTTTTCAATATTTGAAATCTTTGTGATAGCCTTAACATATATTTTTATAGTTATTTATAAACTTTAAAGATTCAAAATAGTGTAGATCTGATAGATCTATGAAAACTTGAAAATTGACGGTCAAAAAATGCTTTACGAAATACATTATTTCCAAAACATTATTTCGAAAACTGGAAATCCGTTTTTTTCTTATCTCCATGCTTCTTGATGTTGAGATGATCAATTTGAAGATATTTAAACATCAAAACAACCTCTTCTAGTGAATTTTTTGTGATACGCTCAAATTTGTTTGTTTAGAGCCTCGGCTCTATATAAACTTTTCCCTTTATCCATTCCTAAAATTTCAAACCAAAATAAATTATAAAAAAAAATTAAATAAATAAAGATGCACACACCTTAGCCGTTCATATTTTAAAGATGGGGTCAAACACTACATCGTAGTTTGGCCTATGCTAGGTCAGGATAGTTATTTACTATATTTCGATTGTTTTATGCAGTGTTATCTCAACACTTCCCGTGAGGTTGTGTTGCGTGTCGATATGTATCAATACATACATACCACATATGGATTTAAATATTTTTTAATAGAATAATTTTATTCAAATTTTTTTAGATATTCTAGTACTCCACCTTTTTTTCTTATTTAATAATTACTAAGTTATTTTGCTAACTTTTTCATTATACTATTTTCATATATTATATAGAGAAAATAATTTATATCTACGTATTTGGCCTCACGTATTAGACACATAGACACTTGCTTGACACTTACACTTTTGTCAGCGTCTCTGTAATATTAGTTTTATGATAAATTTATCAAAAAATCGGTAAGACATAAATTATTTAACAACTTGTCCGTTTACAAAAAGCCCAACACAAAATCATATATATTTTCAGGGAATAAGGTTGCAACCTTAAACAATCCAATTAAGGCGCACTTATAAATTATATCATAAATGTAATTTTAATATAAAAAATTCTTAGGATGTAGGGAGAATCTATTTTTATCTATAATTGTAGAAATTTAAACTTTAAAAATGGTTAAAGTCAAATAGATCTATAAAACACATAAAAATCTTGAAAATAGACGGATCAGATAATGTTTTGTAAGATATACTATTTTGCATACTCAAAATCTGTTTTTCTTTTCATATTCATATATCTTGATGCCGACATGTTCAATTAGTCAAACAATCTTTTATAATGGATTTTTGAGGTGCACCTATAATTCTACATTTTAGGGTTGCAACCTTATATAATTTTTTTTATTATACAAAGAAGGGAAAAGTTTATTTAGAGCCGAGGCTCTAAACAGTAAAATTAGAGCCTACATCAAAAATTCCATTAGAAGAGGTTGTTTTGATGGTCAAATATCCTCAAATTGATCATCTCGACAATAATAAGCATGGACATGAGATAAAAATGGATTTCAAGGTTTGGAAATAGTGTACTTTGTAATGCATTTTTTGACTGTCAATTTTCAAGATTTTAAAGTTTTCATAGATCAATCGATTTACACTGTTTTTTAAGCATTAAACTTTACAAATAAAGATAAACATATATTTTAAAGCAATCATAAAAATTTTCAATATTGAAACCACATTTCTCGATACTATTTGAAAGTAGGCTCTAATTTGATTGTTTAGAGCAGTGACTCTATACAAACTGCACCCTATAAAAAAAATAGTTTATAAATAGGAATGGATGGATATATCGGAGAAGTATTGGCTATTTGGCCACACCTACTAGACACCCAAACACTTGCTAGACTCGAAACTTGTGTCGGTGTCTTATAAGACTAATTTTATGAGAAATTTATCACAATATCTATAAGAGGTCAATTATTTAACAACATGCCTAATTACAAATAGTCCAACATAAAAAATATATACAAATAGTCCAATATAAAATCATATATATTTTTTATTGGTAGTTTTTTTGAAACTAAACCTGTGAGTAACGTTTTAAATTGTTTTGTCTTTTAGAAATATTTTGATAAATTCCCCACGTTTTATTGGTATTTTAGAGATGAGTAATGATCATATGAGACCTTCCCACACCCATGTGTATAAGATTCAAAAGGATTACTATTAAATTTGATATAGATATTTAGAAAAGTTATCACATAAATATGAAATTTGACTTTTTTAGATATTTATATCAAATTTAATAGTGATCCATTAAAGTTTTGTGCATATGGGTGTAAGAGGATCACGTATGACCATTACTTTAGAGATACTCAAAAATTAAAAAGCCGCCTCTTTAAAAACCACAAGGGAAAGGGTACGATCGCTAATTCTCTTATTAATTGGGTATTTATTTTGTTAAGATAAAAAAAAACCCAGTTTTGTGTCGACCAAAGGGCTCCATATAAACTGTGGCCGCCCTACTAATTGAGATCATACGCGCTCTAAATTTACCGGCGAGCCGTCGACGTTTTCGGGGAATTCTAGAGATCTTTTCGTTGCGATTGCCGGTGATTTGGACGGGGAAAGCTACAGATCCGGTGCTGGAGAGACATCTTCTGTTAATTTCCGTGGCAAAGTCTTTGTTAGGGTTTAGTTTTGTTGTAATCAGGCAATCATGACTGGAAACACTGCTTGTACCATCTTTATAGGCAAGTTTCTTCATCGTTTTTACATATGTTCCATGTGATTAGGGTTCGTTAGTGCGTTATTTGGTTGTATCCTCTGATATCTAGGGTTTCCTGTGCTTGTTTTGGCCATAGTGATATTGGGCTAGGTATCTTTTTGATTATTTATTTTTGTCAAAATCGATTGGATGGTTTCTAATTCTCGCATCTGCATGTATTCCATGTAGTTAAGGTTTATTTTGCGTTTCTTGTTTTTATCCATCGAGATCTAGGTTTTCTCGTGTTTAGTTCATCCTGTTGTAAAAGGGCTGAATTTTTTATGCTTCTTAGTTGGCTGAATTGATGGTCCATGAGAAGATTTAGATTAGGTCTGGGGTTTCTCTATATTGTTTTTTAGTAATTAGGTTATGCATGTAAGTGGGGCTTGTGTATTAGGGTAGGGGGTTTGTGTATTAGGGTAGGGTGTGCCCCTTAGAGATACATACCTAGGGTTGCTTTTGTTTGATTAACTGTGTTAAAACTGGTTCACGTTTCCTTTTATTATTATATTCTTTTGAGGATTTGGCTTTTCTTATGGCCAAGGCATTGAATTAGGGTTCTTGGAAGGGTCTTGGTTGACACTTACTCTTAGCTTGAATTAGACTTTCATGTTTTCTCTTTTCAATCTATTTTACAGGTACCAGTAGTTTTTTTATATGTGGGCTTATTTTCTTCTTACGCTCATGTTTCAGTTATAGTATTTGTTGATTTCTCATTATCTTTTCAACATTAAAGTTAGGACCACCTGTATGTATGATGTGTATGTATCTGTGTTGATCTTAACCGTAATGGAGGAAAATGCTCTTCCCCATCTTTTCATATTCTAAACAGATTCTTGCCTTATAATAGAGGACTTCCAATTTTTGTGCTTTGCTTTTTTACATCTAAGGATCACATTTGGATACTTTTATTTGATTCCTGTAGGGTATTGGTTCTGCAATTGCTTTGCTTTTCCTTTTTGCTTTGTACTTTTGCAATTTCTGTTTTCCTTTTCTATTGCATATTTTATTTGTTATCCACTTCCCTCTGTTTTTCTTTTGGACCCGGTTTCTATGCCGCCAAGCCTGCATATGTAGAAATGCGGGCCTCTTAATAAATCTATTTTTGAGATTGGATTTTAAACTTAATTTGTAAGGACATGTAATCTCTAACATGCAGATCACGAATATGAAAAAATAAATAAATTAAAAAAACTAGAAATAATAATTCTAGTAAGGAAATATTTGTGCCGTTAGATGGAACACCTACTTGCATCCATTTTTAAGATGGATGCTTTACACTTTCTGGACCGCATATGTAAAAATGCGGTCCAGCCCGCATGAAACAATTTTCCTTTTCTTTTTAGTCTTTGAAAAGTACATTCCATTTAATACTGTGATCAGCTGGCATTGCTTTTATTTTTGTACTCTTTCTTCTTGTTAAAGTCAAGAAGAGGTTATAAATGTTGAATACTGGTTTTAATATTTGATTGATTTGCCTCTAATGTATGTTTCTAGGCTAATTGTTTGAAACTGAGATTTCTCTCTAATTTATAGAAATAATAAGAAATTTGAACATTGATACAAGCCCACGCAGTAATGTGAACAGAAACCCTTAAAATGGGCAAACACAAACGGAATCCCATAGTTTTGTATTGGATATCATTTGCATTTGCAATGATGTGATGTGAGGATCTGCCTCTGGATTTGATTATTGGCTTGAAAACTTTACCTTTATAACTGCTGTCACTATTATTTAGGTTTCCCCAATCTTGGTATTGTTTTTGTGACCTGGGTTGAGACTAACATAAGGTTAGAGAATTTGCTCGTCTTATTACTCCGAGTTAGATAGTCTTTGATCGCGTAATTTAGAGCATCCGAAATCGGATACTCTTCGTGCTTATGTTCTTCCGTTTCTCTCATAAGTTATCTATTTTTACTTATTTCCTCATAGTTTTGTCTTATCCTTTACAATTTTTAGCAATAGATTCTTATATTTCAAACATACTTTTTTGGTTTTATTTCAATATTTCCGTACTCTCTATTTTCTTAATTTTATGTGATGGTTGCTTGATGTGGTATGTTTTGCATGACATCTCTCCGTTATTTGGAACTTTTAGTTGCAGATGTAGGTTTCTTCTGCAGTTTATTTTTTATTTTTAATTTTTTTTTTGTACATGATTGATCTGTGAGAGTCTGAACCCCAGCATTCAGATGTGGGGTTTGTGCATGTTGGTTGATAATGGTGACGAAGTGTAAATCACTGTGTACTTACAATCACAGTTTAAAACTTTCTTCATTGTTCAGTGAATCTTTTTTCCTCCCCTCTACTCTTGTTTTGTTTTTGTTGAGCAATTGTATAGTTTGAATTTTTGCAGCATGGTTTTGTTTTGATACAAGGAAGTTCTTTTTTTTTTTTGGTATTTATGCACCTTTTTCTGGAAATATGCAGTATTTATTTTTACTTGTCCTGAATTATGTATTCTCTTTTGTCCTCTCATATATTTTTTTTTCTGGTTATTAGTTTTGGAATTCAGATGGAAATCTCATTCCCGGATCTCTTCTTTACATGTCTAAAGTGTGTTTTTTTTCTAGGTTTTATTTGGGTCTTTGTTTCCCATATTTACTTCATCCAGTGTTCTGATATTTTTCCCTAAAATGTTTGAATAGGTAATTTGGATGAGAAGGTAAATGATAGAGTACTATATGAGATACTGATTCAGGCTGGCCGTATAGTAGACATGCACATCCCAAGGGACAAGGAAACAAACCGCCATAAAGGCTATGCCTTTGCAGAGTATGAAACTGAGGAGATAGCTCAGTATGCTGTGAAGTTGTTCTCAGGCCTTGTTTCAATTCATAAAAAAACCCTTCGCTTTTCGGTGCGTCACCTACATTTATTCCCTACTCATTCAACCATTCTCCAATCTCAGCTTAGTAGTTGGTCCCCTATAGTTAGATGAAAAACATAGAAATTTAAGCAATTATGCTGTTACCATAGATAGACAATCATAGAAAGATATCGAGAAAATGTGTGGATGGCTTCTTATAAACCATGGCAAGGGTCAAGATAGAGAGATGGGCTCTTGTAAACCATGGGTAAGGGATAAGTTAAAGCAGAGTATTCACAATCTTTTGTTTTTTTAATCAGATGTCTGGTCAAAACAAGGTTGCATCTCAGGATCCCAATCCTAATCCAAACATGCCTTCTCTTCGGAGATCGCCGCCTAGTAAGAGAAAACATTTGGAGGTTTCCAATTCTTCTCCGCAATTATTTACACCATGCAGATCCGATGCCTACTTGCATTCGAATGCCTCTAGTTACTCTCAAGGTGAATATCGTTACCTTCTGTCTTTTATCTAACCCGTATTTTTCTTATTTTGTTGTCTTTTTTGGGTTAATTGTCTCAGCTGGTAAATAGCTGCAAAAAATGCCACTAGGTGTGGGAATCAACCAACAACAGATGGTATATGCACACATGCATGAGTGTATATATATATATATATTATATATACACATATATACATGCATGCAAACAAATGTACTGATTGAAGTTGGGAGAGTTCTTTTTAGGAACTGTAGTACATGTAGTTTAGTGGGTATTTTTTGGCTGCTGGAAATTATATAGAAGGTACTGGTTGGGGCGTTTGGTGATGCCATGTCTAATTTATGTGGTCATCTATTTGTTGATGAGGCACCATCTTGGCAAATTCTCTTGCCCTTAGACATGTGCATGACAAGCGAAGGTACTTTTGTGCACGTGCATGTCTGTATGTGTGGGGTGGTGGTGGTGGGGTGTTTGCTTTTGATACTGTTGGAAAGGAGCAAATTTTGGGAGTTGTGGCTTCTCTCTTTTTTATTCTCTTCACATTCTTCCTTGCCATGCCCTTGAGTTGCATAAATCTGCTGCTTGCTTGCAGTTTTTTTGTCATAATATCACTTCATCTGAATTGTGATTATTTTTCCTGATACCATTCGTTCATTGCCGCTTATTAAATCCTTCTTCTCTCTGCCTTTTATGCAGTATGTTTACGGTACTGTTTCCTTTCTGTGGCACTCAAACTCTAATGGATTCAGTCTTTCACCTTATTTTCCTCTCTTACTTCTCACCCGTTCTCTTTAACTTATTTTTTTCTGTTTCTTTCTCTTCTTGTTGACATCGCCCGTTTACCCTCTGACAGTTGGCCTCTGACAAGGGATCGTCTATTGGATATTGTATTTTCCTTGAAATTTGATGGATGGGGCTCAATAGTTTTTATATCACCTTATCTCTTCAAGTTATGTTGTTTTGTTTCTTACTCCTTTTTCCTTCATCCTTTTTCTCAGTCGTTCATCATGTGATGATGAGCCAGTTGGTGGTTCCTCACTATTGTTGTTCGAGTTCCTTTTGATAGTCATGTTACCTTTGTTTTTAGTTTTGGGGTTATTTTCTTTATGTTCAAACTTTTTTTTAAAAAAATAATTTTAATGGTAATTAGTAGATTTCCTTCTTTGTTTCTTCAGCTTGCTCTCCAGTGCCTATGTCTAATGGCCCTAGAATGGAAACTAGTTCATACTATGGAAATCACCGACAACCTCAATCTGCCTATCAACGTTTTGGTACTCCAAACCAGCCCAGGCATGTCCCACAATTATATGACTCGAGGTATCCTATCACTAATTCTTTCTAGCTGCCTCATGGTTCATGGTTTTTAGCAGGGACAATCTCTCTCTCGTTCAAATCCCTTTGTACTATAGTTTTCTGTAGGCTGGAGGCACTAATTGCTAGCTTTTAGTTCTGAATAGGTGTTTGTGTTTAGATCGATAAATTTAGATGTGTTTTGTAATAGTGGTAGAACTTAAATGGTTGACTGAAAGTTGATTCCTGATGGACGTGTGCCTTTCTGTGCTGGACTTCGTTAGCATCGCTGACTACTTATGTAACGTGTTTAGACAGAAGATTGACATGCTCGCTCTTAGATGGGCTCTGCCCCAGTTGTTTGTGCAACCTCTCTCTCTTTCTTTCTCTCTCTCTCTCTCTCTCTCTCTCTCTCTTGTGAACAAATTGCAGTTGAGTCTCTCTCTCTCTCTCTGGGTTATACAGGGGGGAAATTTCAAATTGCTATGCAGCATTTTGTGCTGTTCCATGTTTTTCAGTTTTTTGCCTTCCCAATTGCTATGCAGCATTTTGTTTTCTTCCATGTTTCAGTTTGTTTGCCTTCACATTTGCGTTGAACTTGATATTGTGAATGCGTCACCTTCCTTCTAACTTGAAAAGATTAATTTTTGAAATTAGTAGTGTATGCCTGTTATCAGTCATTTATCATTGTTCACCTTCCTTCGCATTTGTGTTGCATGCCTGTTATCAGTCATTTAACATTGTTCATAAAAAACTACCATCCCAATAAACTTACTATTGAGATGGCAAGTGTACCCAACTGAACGGTACAATTGCATAGATTTGGTATATTCAATATTTGGCTTATGTCGGGTGCGTCGTATTTATACTTTGGATATGATGGCATCATGAATTCTTCTCAAAATATAACATTGTCGAATTTCTTGGAGAAAATTTCCAAATGCACTTTTGAGTTGTGGTATCGGACATTGTATTTATTTTTTATTTAATTTCAAAAAGCTTGTTGAAAAAATGCATGATCATGAGTGTTGGAATGGTTGAGAATAGTAAAGGGAAAATATCTTTTTATCTTTTATTTTTACCTTCCGTATTTTAAACTTCCATATCTTATGAGTCTCAAGAATTGAAAATATTACTTGTAAGCAAAATGTCTTTAACTTTTTCATCTTACAACTTCTTGGATCTCTTTGATTATAAATTTTTTTATCCAAACAAGTACTAAAATGGCATCTTATTCAAACTATGTCTCTCTCTAAAACTCCATCTTTTTCTTTTTGTTTCTCATTGAGTTTATCAGACCAGAGGTTTAGCTTGAGTTCGAACACGAGTATATTTCTTATGGGTGTGAGAGAGATCGGAGTTTTAGAGAGAGATGGAGCTTGAGTTTTAAGGGGAGAGATGGAGTTTTGAGAGAGCGAGAGATGATGTGAGAGAGACGAAGTTTGGGTTTTAGAGAGAAATGGAATTTTGAGAGAGACGATGATGTAAGATAGATGGACTTTTAGAGAGAGTCATTTCATAAGTTGTTGAGGTCAATAATATATGGTCAAAAGGGTTTCGGGGGATCGGAACATAAAAAAAGGAGTTTTTTTATTTACAAGTAATATTTTCAATTCTTAGGTCTGATGAGGTATAGAAGTCAGTTTAATAGGATATTTTCCCAATATCAAATGTTAAATGTTAATCTTTAAAGTGTTTTGATTCACTGTTTAAAGTATTAAACCATTTATACTGACATGGTGGTGAGAGAGAGACTTTAAACTTTGGGGCCGTCGTGGCGGTAGCACCCCTTGGTTCCCATGTTGGCCATTGCAAACCTTTAAGAAACTAACGTCTAAACCATTTGACAAAGCGGGTAGGGGCTGATGTCTTCCCCACGCCCAAAAAAACAATATCCATTTTCAATTGAGAAATGAACTCCATTTTTTTGGAAGTTGAAGCACTAAAAATAGATTCATTTTTAGTTATAGTGGAGTGGTAGGTGGCAAGTTAAGGAAAGGAAGTTTGAGAACGTTTATATTGTTTGGTCTGGATTAGATCTTATCACAAATTCTGGAACGTAATATAGAAATTTGAGAACTAATGCATTGATCTCTTCGTGGGAAGCAAGCTTTGGTCATGGTTTGCAATGTATATGATCGTACAATTGAAAAGAGATGAAAATGAAGATTCTCCTGCTATGAACACTTTTTTGATCAGAGTTTTAGAACCCGGTAATTTTTAATTTGAATGGGAGTCAGTTGGGACTGAACTGATTTTGGGATGGGATGGGTTTGGCTTCATTTCCAAATTTTGAAATATATACTATTTTTATTCTAATGGACAACTGCAAAGAAGAAAAATTGGAAAATGGAAATTGAAAATATTTTTTTAGCCCAATTAATATAAGCCGTTTATTTTGATAAGATGGTTGGATTTAGGATTTAGAAGTTCTTCATTTTTTCTTTTTTTAGATGGCTTTATTATGAACAATGTTTAAAAGGAAAAAAAAAATTTGAGTTTGTAAGGGTTAAGATCTTGAAATTCCACAAATGAATGATTTAGATTTGTTGTTGGAGGGGAGTTATTTTGACCAGTGTTCTAATTGAAATTTTGTTTTTTTTTGGAATTGATTATTTAGATGAAGAGTGTGCGGGCAAAATATTGACTCATGCAAATACTGTGATCATGGTTTTTTAGAAGTGTTGTATTATATTATGATATAATCGTTGCATTAGATCACTGTTCATTTATATATGGAAAAAGTTTATATAAGGTTGCAACATTATAATGTAGAGTTACAAATGCACTTCAAAAATCCATCGGGAAAGGTAGTTTTAATGTTGACAAACCATTTGATTGATCATCTCGACATTGAGATGTATGACCATGAAAAATAAAAAGATTTTTTAGTCTTAGAAATATGTCCATTTTCAAGATTTTCATATATTTATAGATCTACTTGATTTTAATCATTTTTTAAATTTAAAATTTTATAATTAGATATAAAAATAGACTTTGAGATAATTCTAAGAACATTTGACATCAAAATTACATACCATGATAAAATAAATTTGAAGGCGCATTTTACCTCTACAGCTATGGACTATCGATTCATCCGTATGCCAACTACACCATATATATATATATATATATATATATAAAAAGAGAGAGAGAGAGAGGGTGTGGTTTGTATAGAGCTTAGGTTCTAAACAATCAAATTAGAGCTTAACTTCAAATAGCATCGAGAAATGTGGTTTCGATATCGGAAATTTATAATATATTTTCATATTTATTTATAAAATTTAAAGCTTCAAAAATAGTGTAGGTCGACAGATCTATAAAAGCTTGAAAATATTGAAAGTGATGGTCCAAAAATGTGTTATAAAATACACTATTTCCAAACGTTGGAATCTATTTTTTTTCTAGTGTTTATGCATCTTGATGTCGAGATGATCAATTTGAAGATATTTAGGCATCAAAACATTCTCTTCTAGTAAAATTTTTGCGGTCGGCTCAAACATGACGGTTTAGAGTTTCGGCTCTATATAAACTTTATATATATATATATATATATATATATATATATATATATATATATATAGTTTTCTCTTTTTAAGCTTGTTAAAATTTCTTTTTGGGTCCCCCTAAAAACCCACCTCGTACGGCTCGTATATTTGCTTTTAGATTATTTTATTTATTATATTAATTTTGGTTCATTCAACCTAACCTGGCAAGATCGGGATTACCCATCCAGCCATCTGACTCATATTCATCGGTGAATACGTGTCCCCACAGATATGGGATAAAGTTGTCATAATTTTAGGCTTGCATTTTTGGAATATTCCTTGCGTTGCTCACTGTAATTTAAAAATAAAGTCCAACTTTTCAAGTAAAATTTTAAAGCGAGCAAGATGGTGGAACTTTTGTGAATTTTATTATTTCTTTGGAATCATCTTGTGTCTAGGATATTTCTCATTTATGGAAAGTAGAGGGATTTTTGTCCTTTTTTTAATTTTAGTTTTTCATTAGAAAGTATCTCGGATAAAGAATGTAGGAGAGACATACGAGAGATATAGTGAAGATTAATGCAAGAGCATTACCTTGGTATCAATGGAATAAAACAAAAGTTTTTAAGGACAATATGATCAGAATAGTAAGGCTAAGCCACAATAAAATTATGCAAGTGAAACGAATTGCAAGCATGCTTCATTCCGACACAAAGGAAAGGATCAGTTTGTGAGAAATTTGTGGTTTTTTTGTATGTTAAAATTGTATACATTACCCCAAATTTATAAGGTTACAAAACAATGTACGAAATCAATAACCTTCCTAATATGAGGTGCAGTATATATTAATTGCTATAGTCGCACATTTGTAATTCTTATTACCTTAATAACTAAAGGCCAACAGTCTCTATCTTTAGTGTAGTTTATGTTCTTGAGATGTTGATTCGTTATAGCATTGCGAATTGGGAATTAGTGGGGATTGATGGGATTCTTAGTTGGAACAAATGGTTTGTCTTCAGTTCACTTTCATTCCTTAAATACCCCATTCTTGCTCTATCTTCTCCTCTCCTCTCCTCTTGACAACAAGGGCTTGAGTTGCAAGTTCAAGCACCACCTTATAAGCCTCCTTGAAATTTTTAACCTTGGATTCCAAGTTTAAATCTCATGCTTTTTGTAGTACCTTATAAAGTTTCAGTAGACCACACGGTTTATTTAGGATTGCAAATTTTAAAAAGGGGTCTCTGTCTTTTTCCATTTCTTCTGAAAACAAAAGAGAAAAATCACAAAAGGAAAGTGATGGGGAAAGTAAAAACAGCTATATTCTTTTCAAATTTGAGTTGTATGAATAATAAACTTCCATTGATTTTGAGTCCCAAGTTTTAATTTTTCTTACTCAACCAAAAGAACAAGACCTCTACTTTTCATGGTTCCAAATTGAACTTCTACACAAGTTTCTACTTTTCATGGTTCCAAATTGAATTTCTACACAAGTTATATGGGAGAGAGAGGCAAATGTATGTACAAGACTACAAGGTATTAGATTGTGTTGGGAGGTTCCACACGGAGATGCGAGACTGGTATTTATACGGATATGACATTAAAGGTCCCTTAGAACTCTTGAACATAAATCTCCTCAAAAGCTCTTGGAAAAAATAAAAATAAAAATAAAAATAAAGAAAAAAATAAAAAGAAAAAAAATGCTTTGGCTAAGGTTGGAGTTTCTGTACCTTCTCTTGCTATTTCTGATGATGTAATCTCATTTTTTTAACTCCTCGCTTCTCATTCCTAATGTTTCGGCTGCCATTCTCAGCTCTTCCTGCACTTTCCCATTTTCTGGCAATCGGAAAACCACTTTTTGGCTTAGATTTTTGTCTTTTTGCCACTGGAAAACCACTTGTCTTCCTAATTTTCTATCTTTCTCCCATTGGAAAACGGCCTGACCTCTTAATTCTCCACTTTCTTGTCGACAGAAAACTGCCTCGCCTCTTAACTCTTTTTCCTCATGTTTTGGCAACAAGAGGGCTCGGAGCTCGCTTGTGGCTCGAGCCATTGAAGACAATTCGGCCATGATC